TCTTTTGCTTTGTTTAGGTCCCCTATTGACACGTATTTACATATACACATAGTCTGCTTGCAACAATAGTTTATGTAATAATGTATTTCTGCAAAAGAAGTTTCCACATTTAAATCCAATTTAAAGCTGGTGGCTTCATGTTTCTACATCACACTTTTATGAGTTATATACTAGACCAGGATTGACTTCCTAACAAAAAAACATGTTTGTGTTTGTAGACCCCGTCCCCTTAAAATCAGATTTTCAATGAGCACAGAGAAACATTCCTCTTTCAGCGTCTAGTGTCAAACTCTGCACATAAATCATTTGGTACAGTGAAGCTCATCCATCATCATCAACGTCAACATTCAACTGTAAAAACGGGGAAAAAAAGTTTTTGAATGGAGGGGGGCTTTAAGGACTGGAGAAGGGGCTGCTGACAGGTGTTTTTCACTGGTGCCTGTTTCTCTTTGTTCTTCACAAATGAGAGGGGTGACAGCTATTAAGGTCATTCAATTTATAATGTTGAAGGAATGGCCGACACTGTGGAACCATTGCAAATAGCAGCTGCGCTATCCGTTTCAGAAACTTTAACACCGCAGACATACTTGTCCCTCTTTTACACTCACAGAAGTGGTAATGTCACCTTATTATCGCGCACCCTCGCACTGGGTGACACAGTGTCAAGCATTCAGCCTAGTTAACTTTATAATTCAAGCGTCATCTTATTGGCCATATTGGAAGAAATTGCAGATGTTCCATTTTAAAGCATATATCGGCAGTTACCAATCATCATGCATCCCCCAAAAAATAAGTTTTCGACTGTAGCTTAGGAGGTAGAGCGGATAATCCACTAAGTGTCCTTGAGCAAGAAACTGAACCCCAGATGGCTCCAGACATTGTGTGAATCTATGTAAATGGATTAGTTCCTGTTTCTGATGAACAGTTGGCACTTTGCATTGCAGCCTCAGTCCGCCACTGTGCAATGTGTGTGAATGAGTGAATGTGACATGCAATGTAAAGACCTTTGAGTGGTTGGAAAACTAGAAAAGCGCTACATACACAGATCAGCCATAACATTATGAGCTTTGACAAGTGAAGGGAATAACACTGATTATCTGGTTATCATGGTACATGTCAGTGGGTGGAATATATTAGGCAAAATAGACTTAGACTTAGACTTCTCTTTATTGATCCTTTTTCCACAAGGAAATTGAATTTCCAGCAGCTTACAAAAAACAGTGTAGAAAAATAAAGGGGTATAAAAAATACAGTACAAGATAAAACAGTATAAACAATAACTCTTGCTAGATATAGAAAGTAGGCAATAAACAGTTCACATAAACTCTTAGATATATATAGAAAGCAGAGATAAGAATGAAATAGAGAAAAAGATAATGAATCAAATGATAAGTGTAGAGAACTGTAATAGAGGATAATATATATGCTTGTGGGCATTGTATTGTTATACAGTCGATAAGTGGCATTAAGTAGAAAATTAGCAGTTAAATTAAATTAAATTATTGCACTTAAGTGGTGGATCTAGTTATTGCACAAAAAAAAATAAGTAAGAAGAGTGTCCAGGTATGTATGAGTAGACCTTTAACATGTTCTTGTTGTTTTTTCCTCCTGATTTTGTGACATCAGGTGGTTCAGATAGTTCAGCTGTTTAAATGGTACACCACAGTTTCAGATAGAAGAAAGAAGGAAAATCCCAAAAGTCCTCAGTTGTCCAAACAGGTGCAAGCTTTTGTGAAAAGTTGTTTATGAAAATTTGAGGTTTTGAATGTATTGCCTAACTGACAATATGTTTTTGGATTATTTTTATAGCTTTATAATAAAACTAATGTTTAATGTACATGATCCACAGTTCACTAACTGCTCCTCGTCTCTTCCGTTCTATTACTCTGCGTCTCTATCCTTTAGTGCTCTTTTATGCAAAGTGTTCATTAGCCGCGTAACCTTTTACTTTGAATTACAGTGTAGTTCATTTTGCTGCTTGCCTGCAGGTCTAACTAAAGGAGCACGTTGGACCATTAGTCATTCTGTCATGGCACGCTGACTGGCCCAGTTCTCAGTCATTCCAACCTGCTGGCCGGCCGATCGCTCAGCAAGTCAAGCATGCGTCCCTCTATCCAGTCACCCATCCATCTGCAGCCAGGCGGTGGTTGTAATGCTGAAAGAGTTGTGACTGCAGCTGAACTGTGCAATTGTTTAGACATGTGAGGCAGATTGGGGACCATCTGCTTCCTTTTCTGTCTCTCTGTGTCTCTCTCTCTCTGTCTCTACATTTCTGTCACTTCTTCTTTCAGCAGCTTCATCTTCTTCTCTTCCTCCATTCTTATCCTGTTCCTGTCTTTCCCTTTCCACTAAGGGATGCGTGGCAATTTAAAGGAAGAAACAACAGAAACCTCCTTGTCTCTGGTACTCTCTCCATTCTCTTATAGTTTAATTGATTAATTTCTCTCTCATCAAACCATTCATAAACCCCTTAAGTCTTGTATTAAAGCATCAGCATTTGTCATGTTTCTCTACTCATTTGTTCAGTCATTCATTAGATTTTCCTTTAATGTGTCACCTTTTTGACATTTTTCCCTGTCCTTTACTTAAACTCTTGTCTGTCCTTACCACTGAATCTGTACCACTCAATGTACTATAACATAAAATACTTTGTTTCCTTGTTCTCTGTCTCTCAGTCTCTATAAAAAGTCACTGTTTATGCTAAGTGGAAGTTTGTTCTTGTTTACAAACCACTACTATAATCCAGCCCCATTTCTCAATTGTCATTACCGTAATGATCTCGTTTTGGACGTTTAATGAGCACTACTTTGATGTACTCATTGAGCTTGAGTGAACATAGAGTGAAGGTTATTGCAGCTGTAGAAAGTTTTCCTCTTATATAGGAGGAGGATTTTTTTGTCCGTCTGCAGTATACTTTAGGCTGTACAGTGTTTTCACAGTTTAATTAACTTAATTGATTACCTTAACGGTTGTGGAGGCAGTTTCCCATGTATTTTCCTTGTAGAGCTGCTGCACTTAAAAACTGCTGTTAACATTTTTCCACCTTTTCATCACAGCTGCAAATAAAAGTAACTTATGTGTGTGTGTGAATAGATCAGTGATATTGACTGGCTGCTGCCTCGGGCATCTCTTTCTTATTACTGTGTTGAATAGAAAACCTCTCCATCTCCCAGCTGCAGCCTATATGCTCACTTTATATAACAGCAAATGTTTACGATGTGGCATTACTACTGGATCTGACATTATATCTACTTTATCCAGCAAAACCCACATCTGTTTTTATTCTGCTTGGACTGAACATTTTCATGTGACATTTAAATACTGGTGACAGACCAGGTCTGAGTGATGAGAAGGTCAGCTGCTTCAGGAAAGAATATGTGAAGCACACAGAGATTAATCATAGTTCGATATTTGATAAATATTTGTGAGACCTGGCTGTCACATTGTTTTATTGCAGTTTAGGTACAATGTATGTTAAAGATCCATACCAGTAAAGAGCCACTGACATGAATTGAAGTGTTTGTGTGAACATAATGCAGAAGTTCACCCTGTGTGTCTGTGTGTGTACAGTATGTGGGCTTGGTGGGAAACTCTGTCAGGTGTCAGGTATCCTGCTGTGAATGAGACAGAGGATTATTTGAGACAGAGCATCAATGCTGATTGAATTGGCTGCTCCTGAAAAAGACATGCAGGGTTTTGTCAGACCGAAGAGAGACGGAAGGAAGCTGTTGATCTAATTGTAACACTGAATGGATGTCTGTTTGGCTCGGTGCAGACAATCCTACAGGAACGCACCTACAGGAATACATTTTTCGAAGATTGGCTGAGTTGGACATCTAGTAGGTCATGAAAACATAGACACCCAAATAAGCAACTGTGTGTCCCCCTTGTTCACTCTAGTAATGGCCTACACTGATAGTAACAAAGTTCAACTATCATTCAAAGTTATGTGACGGGCTTCTCCTTCATTCACACACATTTACTGATATCTTGCAATGGTTATTTCAGATATTTAACAGTATGGCAAAGACTTTAACTCATTATTAAAAACCTAATTCTGCACTAAGCTACAGTAAATGTACATAAATACAAACTCAAAACTGTAACCAAAAAAAGAAAGAAATAGCAGGTGAACAGCACAACTCTCACTTACTTCTGTTTGTTTAAAAAAAGAAAAGCAGGTATTTGTTGTAGCTGAAAGTATTCATTATTCAGCTGTTTATCTTTATAGCAACTACAGATTCTCACCTTCTCTGTAATTATTTGTTGTCTCACCTTTTATCACTTAACATGGTGTACAATTACTTGTAAGCATGGAGAGGTCGACGTGAGGGGTGATTTTAATGTCTAACCTCATCACTTTAGTTTTGGCCCTGCTGTATGTGAACTGCTGTCTCCTCACTGTTCTTGTTTAGAAAAAGTTTTGACGTGGCTTCATCTTTCAGTACTTCTCGCCTCAAATAAAAAACAACAATCTAAAACCATTCATTGGGTCAAGATCGTAAAAGTGCAACAGTGCTTATGTTTATATTTATGTACTTTTTCCTTCAGCGATCACCTAATCACCATTTGTTTGTCTCTCTTCTTGTTCTTTCTCCAGTCACAGATGAAGACACCGTGAAGAGATACTATGCTAAGTTTGAGGAAAGGTTTTTCCAGACCTGCGAGAAGGAGCTGCTGAAAATCAACACATTCTATTCAGGTATTTCTTTACTTCAATTACTCTCGAAGTAACGATTGCTGACACGGAGTATATAAAATCAAATAAGGAAAGCTGTTTAACATCAATTGTGTGATTGTGGGGCTGGTAGTCAGAGAAACCAATTTTGAAGCAATATCACCATAATTTAATAAAATAATATTCTTTATGATGGATTGTGCTCTGCAATAATCCTTCCTTCCTGATTTAAAATTAACTTAACCTATTATTGTCGTAACAATTTGTGTGGTATATAAAAATATCTTGTGGAAACCATGCTATAAAGACTCTTATAGATATTAGCTATCATCGCCTATCATCATTTTACAAATTAGCGGTGATTTACTTTGTACTAAGCTGCCTATTTTAGTGCCAAATGACATTGTGTCCAATCTTGGTCATTTGATTGAAGTAGCCAGTGGTTGTCATGTTTAGGCGAGCAGGCCTGCCTGTGTGTATTTCAGGGAGCAAGGGGGAGTATGTGTATGCCATGTAACATGAGATGGAAGCCATAATATATTCTGGTATTCTGGTACCAGAAGGTTGCCTTCTGGTTTTGAACTTCAGCTCAGGGGGAATTGGGAGGTATTTAAAGAGGGACAGTGCTTCCCCTAGAGGCTGTTTGTGAAACTACAGGTCAGCCGAGGGCCAAGGTTGACTGGGAAGATTGTTCCAGCTCATAATGATGGGAAATAACTGGCAGATGGATGGCTCGAGCAGCTAAACAACAAGATATATATCATTCCAGAGCTTGTTTAGCAGGAGGTGGATTTACTGGCATACTGAAAAAACATCCATGTCTTGTTAACTCGTCCTTTATTAACCTGATCCATGATCTAATAATAATGACAATATAATTCCTTTGCTAAGCACAGAACAGTACACTTTACTTAAGTCCCCCATAATTTAGCTCTTACTTATTTTGTAATAGTACGTTAGTTGTAAACAGATGTAAAGACCTTTCCAATGTGTGTTAAATAATGTGCAGTATTTCTTAGCAATTATAACTTATTCTGTGAAGACTGTTTTATCATTTATTATCTGTTTATACACCAGCTTCACCTGGTTGCCCACAGGAGGAGTTAAAGTTGTTGATAAATACAACACTTAAATCCTCTTTTATATAACTGGGTAGGTGAAGGTCAGAGTTGTGAGGCTTTGGATTTTTTTTTGTTTCACTCATAAATAAATGTTATTGTCTGTCTACATGAATAGAAACATGATAAGGAATAGAACAAAACAAACAGCTGTCATTAATGATGTTTTTAGAGCTACATGTGACACGTGTAAGTCTGTTGACAGCAGAGTCGCTTAGCATCAGTATTACAGTCAGTGAGTCACCGCCTCCTCAGCAGACCTGAGGTGTGAGGTTAGTTAAATGTTGTGTATGAAAACATCAGCGTCTCCTTCCTGCTCTCAGGCGTCCTGTTTATCCTCCACACACGGGAGGATGAAGCAAGAAATTGCCGAATTGTGTCCGACAGGCAGGTTTATCTGATGCCAGTTACTGGCTGTATTTTCAAAAAAAAAACTGGTTTGGTTGTGAGTGAGAGAGAGATAGAGAGAGCGGTGGATAGATGGATAAATCGTGTGCTGACTTTACATAAGACACCTGCCTCCACATAGCTCTTTCCTTCTGTATCTCCCTCTGAAAGGGGTCCTTGACCTCTGAAAACAATTTTGCTGCAATGCGCTGAAACCCAGTCTGTTGGACACTTTCATCCTGATGGGTTAAACACATTTTTGCAGACTGCTGTTTTAATAGAAAATCCTTTCACCTCGTTTGTTCCTGAAAGCTTAGGAAGAACAACAGACTTTAACCTTCTCTAGTTACGTAAACACACACCAGAGGAAATCTAAACCACCAACACCTCTCTGTTTAAGGTTCATTAGCCTTACACACTGTCCAGGCATGTCCTCTCTTGCGAAGTGCCACTGTGATCCCGGACCTGAGATTTAATGGTGGGCAGTCAGGGTCTTGACTTTCTCAGGTCTCCTGTTGCTGTCATGTGTTCATCCAAGCATTGTTATGACAGACTGTATGAGAGGAGTAGAAGGATTTCAGTGAGTGTTGTATCTGGAGTGTGTGTGTGTGTGTGTGTGTGTGTTCGTTCAAACAACAAAGCATGAAGGTTACCAGTAAGCCCTCCACATCATCACCACTGTTTGTCTCAGTTCAGGCTAGAGACAAAGCTATAGGAGCTTCTGTTCCCCAGACTCAGACACATACAGCACTGCTCTTATTGGGACTCCAAGTTCCTTTAATGGTTTTCATGCCACAGCTGGATGACGTCAAAGCAGGAGAAAAAATGACTTACACATATCTCAAAACAAGAAGTAAACACACTAGCGTATTACTAAAGCTAGTTAACTAGTATGAATATGACCTAAAACACATGTCCATCAACAAATCATGATTGTTGACTAGGTACAAGCCACTGTGTATTAGGGTGATGAGAGAGGATGTGCATAAAATTGGCCAGCCAGCCTGCACACTGACTAAACACACTCAGCTGACTCCCACAAACTGGCCATGTTGCCTGTATGATAACGGCAAATTTGATTTCATTAATAAATACTGCTTGTCTTAGTCTGTGTGACTGGGAGTCTGTACCTCTATTTTTAGCACATCATTCATAAGAATATAAGGAAGAGGAGAATGGGCGAAGGAGATAGTAAAGAGGCAATAAAAGACGTGGGCTTCATTGTTCAGTGAATTAAGCTGGTGTGACTTCTGATGGTTAAAAAAAACAACAACAAGAAAAAGCAGCAGAAGAATGGGGGATAATCTTTTTTTCAGAAAAGTAGGTGGGAGTGCAAGAGAAGTTAATGAAATGCAGGTTATTGCCCAGGCCCTGTGTGATTCCCTCCCCTCCTCTCTCTCTCTTTCTGGGTATATTAACCTATCTTTGACCCAGATAATGGTTCCTCCCTCTGCAGCATTTACATGTCAACTCAGCCTAATAGTCTCCATGCTTCTGCTTCCTGGAACAGACAGCAGGAGAGCAGAAGAGACAGGGTGTATACATTTTTTTCTTTTTTTGTAGTTGTTAACCTCTCCTTGTCCTCTACCAAGATCGTTGATGTCAAGCTGAAGCAGCTTGCTGATGTGTCTTACTAGTAGTTTGTCAGAGTCTTCTTCCTTCTCTCCTACAGTTATACTGGTTAGATTACCTAAATACAAGTCAAACAGAGTAAAGATCAGCTTGTTTAACCGAATTAACTCATTAATGCAGTTTATTTAGTTTAGTGTATTGGTTTAATAATGGATGTTATTAATTAATTAATTAATTAATTATCCTAATTTTTGTCTTGTTTTACCTACAATAGATTGTAGAACCCCCTAACCCTAACCCATGAAGTCATCAGATCAGACTACATAAAATCTAACTGAGAAAGATGAGTTGGCCAGGTCTCCCTCTGAAAAGAGTTTTAAATGTCAAGGGATTTCCTGGATAAATAATGGTAACTACTATACTAAAATAAATAAAATACAGATAATACTCAGTAAGGTATACAGTGTCTAAAAGTAGTTCAGTTGTTCTCCAAATGTAATATGTGCATTATAAAAAAAAGCATGAATGTGGTGCAGTACATTAAGCTAAACTAAGACCTCTTTTTAACTATTTTCTTGTCTTCCCACCTGTAGAAAAGCTTGCTGAAGCCCAGAGACGTTTTGCCACACTGCAGAATGAGCTGCAGTCTTCACTGGACGCTCAGCGTGAGAGCATTGCTCCGCCCGGCCTGCGGAAACGCAAGACAATGTTCCACCTGTCACAGGAGGAGCGCTGCAAACACCACAACATCAAGGACCTGAAGCTAGCCTTCAGCGAGTTCTACCTCAGCCTCATCCTGCTCCAGAACTACCAGGTTTCAGCACACACACTCATGCATTCTCAGTTCTTCAATATAAATGAATGTGTGCTTTATGTCCAATCTGTTTGTCTGGTATGGAAAAGTTATAACAGTTTCCTCGTTGCTGTCCACAGAACCTGAACTTCACTGGTTTCCGTAAAATTCTGAAGAAGCATGACAAGATCCTGGACACTTCTCGCGGGGCAGACTGGCGTGTGGCTCATGTGGAGGTGGCACCTTTCTACACCTGCAAGAAGATCACACAGCTTATCTCAGAGACAGAGGTGCCTGCTAGCATATACACAAACACATACATACACAGTATGATATAAAGATGTTAGTGGAAAACAGTGCACATACATAAAATCATTGTTGTTTTTGATTGTTTGTGTATAGACCCTCGTCACCACAGAGCTGGAGGGAGGAGATCGTCAGAGGGCCATGAAGAGGTTGAGAGTTCCTCCACTGGGGGCAGCTCAGGTCAGAAGTACAGCTGGTTACACTGGAAATGACTCAGTGATATGAGCCTAATTTACTCTTGCCTGCTGAACCTCCCAAGCAAACTAATGCCTTCTTGGAACAAGCACTTACAGGCCTCAAATGCAGAAGAGTGATGAAGAGTGTTTATGATATCAGCCATTTTCGCTTCATTTCATGTAATTTGATTTATGTTCAAAGTAGGCAGGTAGGCTGTGTGCAATTATCATATTTTTCAGTCTCCCCTAAAAATAGCCATTCAACTCTATAGTGTTAAATTAATTGGATCCAAACTTGGGGTCTGTGCCTGAGAATATCCCAGCAATAATAATCTTACTATAATGTTGGTTTTATGACGCTTTGTTGGTAGTGAACAAAGATTAAAAACAAAAAGTGAGAGCCTTGTTATGAGAGAAATAGAGAGAGGGAGGAAGATGGGAAGAGACAAAGAAAGAGAAACCACGAGTGCCTCCAGTATTGATTTTATAAGTGCCTTTCCACTGTTGAACAGACAGGATATCTTTCAGAAACAATCGAGGCTAGTGGCACTTTACTCCCCTATGTTATATCTACTGTTATTACTGCATTAATTACTGTCATGTCTGACTTGAATTGTGCTATGTGACTATTGATCTCTACATTCCCCCCGCAGGCATGTGTATAATGTAAATATATTCAAGCACATAAAAGGAGTGAGAGTGCCTTCATATCAAGACACATTTAATTTTAAAGTTTTATTTCATATGTTTTATGAAAATTATTGAACTCTATTGATACAGTATCTGTGCTCTTGTTAATATACACAGTGGTTAAGTGTCTTCTTAAGTAATATTATCAACATTATTAATGTTTTACTGTATCTCTCTCTGCCTGGTTCAGCCTGCTTTGGCCTGGACAACCTTTCGTGTCGGTCTCTACTGCGGCTTCTTTATCATTCTGGCCATCTCCTTCATTCTCAGTGGTGAGTCACATAAGCATCCAGATTTGTACATTTGTCATATCCTGTTGAGCCCAGCACCATTTATAGTGTCACTCTAAGATAACAGGTAGTTCTGGTAGATTGTTTAAGGTTAACTGGGAGCATGAAATGGCAGGTTTATATTGTTGTTTCCCCTCAGAATATCCACTGTGTTTTATCAGGTGTTGTGTTCATCCGCTTCGAGAATGTGTGGCCACTGGTGCGGATCTATCGGGGCGGTTTCCTGTTGATCCAGTTCCTCTTCCTGTTGGGCATCAACACATACGGATGGAGACAGGCCGGAGTCAACCATGTCCTCATCTTCGAGATCAACCCCCGAAACAACCTCTCACACCAACACCTGTTTGAGGTCAGAACGAGGAAACAATTATTTCTGTTGGAGCCCCAAGTCTTCAGAAAATAAACTTGTTTTCAGTAATGAAGAAAACCAACTTTGTTTTGAAATTGATTTGGGTAATGATGCATTTTTAAAATATGCATTAGGAATGAATGGGGTTGTTTAATCATTAGCGTAATCCAAATTTAAGAAATATATTAACATGTAAAATAAGAAGATTTTATTCAGCAGAAACAATACATGCCAATCCACAGGGTTTTATTTATACAAAACACACTGAATTATTCATATTACCTTGTTAATTGTGGTTATGTGTCAGAAGTGCTTTCTTTTAATGCCAGTTTCTTCTGTTTCTCCTCTGTGTGCTGCAGATTGCTGGTTTCCTGGGTGTGTTGTGGTGTCTCAGCATCCTCTCCTGTCTCTACTCAGATTACACCTACATCCCCATGCAGATCAACCCGCTCATCCTCTATGGCTTCATGGTGCTCTTCCTCCTCAACCCCTTCAAGACCTGCTACTACAAATCACGCTTCTGGCTCCTCAAGCTGCTGGTCAGTACGCTCACTTATTTATTGGAGCATTTCTTTTACACCGTTGCGGCTTTAGTTTGAAAGAATTACAATAATGCCATTTGAACTTCGGTGCCACCAATCATACTCTCTCTGAAAATGTGTCTGACCACTGTGTGTTTTATAAGAAGAATGTCGAACTGGATAAATGAGCCCAACAGTCAAAGTTCATGGATACACAAAGACAAATGTTGACAGCTGTGAACCTGCAGTAAGTAATGCATTAGGAAACTACCATAGCAAAATGAACCAAATGCAAACAAGATGAGACAATTTGAGAGGGCTGAATATGGAATTAACATGGAAGAAATTCAAGTACAAAAACCAGGTTTGATGTGAAATTTGTAGGTATTCATATTAAAAAGAGTGGTGGTTATTTTTATACATGCAAACTCAACCAGTCATTTGTTTTTAGGTAAAACAACTAAACCAAATGTTTACCCCAACCTTAATAAGCTATTTTACTTTAACCCTAACTAAAATCATATTTTCAGACTTTAAACCCCCAAAATAAACAGAAAACTTATTTAATATAACATATTTGTGCTTAAGAAAAAATCATAGCTTGCTTAAGTTTAAGGGACTAGAGATTTGTTTGACTGCATTGTCCTTAATATGTGGTTAGGGTTAGGGTTAAAAATGTGTTTGTGTGAGCTATTCTTTTTTTACAGCTGTGTATTTTGTATTGTATTGTGCTGCTGACAATTTAAATATGCCCTGTGTGTGTGTGTGTGTGTAGGTGAGTGTGTGTGTGTGTGTGTGTGTGTGTGTGTAAACCATGAAGCAGAGAGCAGAGATCAAAG